CAGTGTTTTACCTCATGGACAACAATGAGGAACCTCCTAAGGATTTAACAATGATTTTTTTTAAAGCAGGGAGCTTTTTATCCCAAAAGGAAAGGAGGGAGTTTTTATAATTATAGCATATTCAGGGAAATTCAAGAAGTATTTTGTAAATGTATCCAGAAGCAGAATAAGCGTCTCTGCATGTATTCTGGCAGGAAGCTAACACGATAATTAGTGCTGACACTATAATATTTGCTCATGGGTAGAGTGAAAATTAATGAAAAGTCAGTTTTTTCCTCATGGATAATATGAAGAAATGTTAATAATATCCTGTGTGTAGATGTATGTGTATGTATATGTGCACGTGTGTATGTGTGTGCACACGTGCACCAGCAGTGAGTCCGAAACTTAGGGCCTGAGCACTATCCCTTAGCTATTTTGCTCAAGACTGGAATTCTACCACACCTCCACTTCTGGCTTCTTTTGGTGATTAATTGGAGATAAGAATCTCATGGCTAGCTTTAAGCAGCCTCCTGAGTAGCTAGGGTTACAGGCATGAGCTACCAGTGCCTGGCTTTTCTCCAAAGTATTTTAAGTAAGGGGAGAATCAGAAATTCTTTCTAAAATGCCTTAATGTCTTCTTTCTGCTTAAGTAAAATGCTCTTAATATAAGTTTCTTTATGGATTAAAGATATTTCAGTGATATTCTCAGTGAATATCAGTTGTTATTTTAAAAAGGTACACATTTATATATAGAACTTAGAGGAGTTGGGCATTCTGTAGGAAAACAAGGAAATTTTTGTTGACTTACCTTTTCTTTAGAAGTTTTTTTTTCTTTTTCTTTTTTGTGAATCTTGGAGCTTGAACTCAGGACTTGAGCATTATCCCTGAGCCTCTTTGTATGCAGGGCTAGCGCTCTACCTACCACTTGAGCCACAGCATCACTTCCAGCATTTTCTGAGTAGTTTATTGGAGATAATAGTCTTATGTACTTTCTTGCCTGGGTTGGCTTTGAACCACGATCCTCAGACCTTCTGAGTAGCTAAGAGTAGAGGTGGAAGCCACTGGAGCCTGGCTTTTAGAAGGTATTTTTAATTTTTAATTTATACACAGTAATCATACAAATTTCTGAAGTACGTGTGAAATCTTAATACTTGTACACAATATATAATGATAAGCTCAGGGAAACTGGCATATCTCTCTCCTCAGACATGTCTCATTTTATTTGTGTTGGGAACATGCAGACTCCTTTCTATCATCTATTTAAAATTTGAAATTGATTATTATCATAGCTAAGCTATGGTGGTATAGAATGTTGGAGGTTATTCCTCCCACCTACCTGTACCATTCTTGGGTAACCAACCTTATTCTGTCTTCCTCTGCCTTCACACCTTTCTGAAATTCCTTTATATAATCAAATTTCTAAGAATTTATTTTCTCATATTTTGACTCATTTTTGTTTATATTAATAAATTATCTAGGAATTTTTTAATGGTTTAGTAACTGTTTCTTTATCTTATACTAGAAAACCACTTTTCATATATGGTGGTCACCCATGAACTTCAACAGAAAAAAAGAAAATTCTTTTGCTTCTTGGTGGAAATTAATTATATTCTCTAGAGAATGGAAACATAGCCATCATTTTCTTCCCTTTTCTCAACTCAATACATATATATATATAAATAACTGTACAGTGAACTTAAAAGAATTTGCAACAGAAATGGCAGAAATTATTCTGAGGAAATTATTGGCTGACCTATGGTAGTTCTTTGAGGATCAAGTTTCTATACATACAGAGAGAGTAGTGATCATAATGTATTTTGTTCTTTAAAAGACATAAATAGGGATCTTACAAGGATTTGAAAGGTTTAGTCTCATTGACATATTGGAGACATATATCTTTTTAAAGAATAGAGATCTTGTGGACTGTGGGATGGCTCACATGATAGAGCACCTGCCTATCCAGCATTAGATTCCATGTTCAAAATCCCAGAGCTAATCAATGAATGAAAGAATTAAAAAAAAAAAGTTCAATACCCTAGAGTTAACCAGAATAGGGGATCAGGTTTAGAAATAGACTTAGGTCAGGCACCCCTGTCTCATGTTGTATCCCTAGCTACTCAGGAGGCTGAGATCTGAGGATCCTAGTTCAAAGCCAGCCCAGGCAGGAAAGCCTGCCAGATTCTTGTCTCTAATTAACCATCAGCACTGTTGTTCAAATAGTAGAGTGCTAGCTGTGAGCTGAATTGTTCAGGGACAGCGCCCAGGCCCAGAGTTCAAGCCCCATGACTGACCAAAAAAAAAAAAGAAAGAAAAAAGAAAAAAAAAAGAAAAGAAATAGACTTAGGTAATGAAGTTTCTAGAATGGGAAAGCATAACATCAAACAACCAAATTCACTAAGGATGGAATTGGCATTTCACCCAGTAACACAACGTTAAGAATGACCTGCATGCTATAAACTTCAGGTTTGCAGATTTTCTAAATTCTTCCCCACTGTGAAATGCCAGCAGGAGTATTTGTGTTAGGAGTCTGGGTGTGTGGGCTGAGTATGATAAATGAGCTTATTGTGGGCAAGTAGCAAATACTTAGAAAATAAATTATATCTGAATGGTGATCTCAGCAAAGTTGTTTAAGGATGAAAGTCTAGGAGGGGTCATTGTTGACTGCCTTCTGGCACCATAAACCCAGTGCTCTAGGACAAATGGACATAAGTATCATAAAGCAGGTGTTTCAGAAAGAACTTGAAAATGTCACCTTGACCTTTAACAAAAGCTGCAGGTGTGTTTATACTGGAAATACTGGATGTCTTTATTTCCAGAAGATCACATTGGTTATTAGGATATTCTAACATAGACCATTAGAACCCAGAAGCAATCTCAAAACTCAAGTGTAAGACTTAGACCGGTGATATCGATCAATGGTAGAATTTGTGCATCCACAGGTCCCTGGGTTCTATTTCCAGCACCAAAACAAACAAACAAACAAAAAACAACAAAAAGCAGCCAAACAAAAAACAAAGCTTTTAAAGTAGTTAAATGAGGAGGTTTCATTTTGGAACATGTATATGAACAGATATGCGTACATATGGTTGAGCCTCCATATTCACAGGTTCTGTGTCCTGAGATTTAGCCAACCTTGAATGAGAAATGTTCAGGGAAGAGAGAGAGAAGTTGTTGATGTGTACTATGTAGTTAGTTCTATGAACTACACTGATTGTGTCTACACCAAACATGTACAGACTTTTTCTTCTTCATTGTTCAGTAAATAGTATAGTTTGACAATGATTTGTACAACCTTAGTATTTATTATTACAAATAACCTGGAGATGATTTAAAGGGACAGAATATGGGTAGTTTTTTCTACTTAACAGACATCATCATGGATATGGGGGAAAGGGATGACTGTATAAAACCGGTTGACAAAGGGTATTCAATATGACATTTCTATAGCTGTGAAGGCGATATAAAGGCAAAACACCTAGCTTCCATTTTCTTTAGTAGTGACATCTAAATTTCTGACAATGCTGTTCAGTACTTATGAGTATCCACACAAAATTTTTTCACTTGGGCTCAAGGAAAAGTCTTGTTTATCGATTACCTATTACTTAACGTTTATTTCTCCTTTTCTGGTACCAAACTTCTAAGTACTGCTCTCTCTCTCTCTCTGTGTGTGTGTGTGTGTGTGTGTGTGTGTGTAAGAGAGAGGGGGGAGGGAGGGAAAGAAGGCTGGGGGGCAGAGAGAGGAAGAGAGAGAAAGAGAGAGAGAGTCAGAAAGCTGCCAATTTCTCAGTACCATAGAACCCCAGTGGGACATCACTGCGAATGTACTGACATCTCAAGTCTCTCCCATGCTCAGGAGCAATGAGAGAGAAAACTTTTAATCATTCCTACATCGGTCCTAAAGTTAACAACTGTACGCAATTTTTTTAGAAAGTACTACGTCTAATGCAGCCAGTGATGCAAGATCAACCTTCTGACAAACTCTCCCCGCCCTTTGGGGAGATGTGCCACAGTCCTCTAAAGACTAGCCTTCTGGTGCACGATTGGGTTCAGCAGGGGTGTGTAAGGGGTGGTAGGTAGGGATGTGGGGGGTGGAGTGTGTGTCCTTTCTACAGAAAGAGTGACAAGTTCTACACTTTGTGGTTTGCATGAGGGGCCAATCTGTTTAATCTTTTTTTTTTTTAAGTAATTTAGTTCCGGTGCAAACGGCAGAAGCAAAGGACATGACTTAATCTTAACTTCTAAGAAAAAAAAAAGGACTTTAATGTTTTTCTAAATGATTGGTTGCGAGGCAAACCAAAGTAAAGCTCCAGGTTTGCAGAAGCTTTGATCAAAGCTCTTCCAGGAGCTCAATGCCAGAGAACCCAGGGTGTGAGCAGAGTGGATGGACAGTGAGTGAAAACTTGCGGAGTTAGAACTAGGGTGTTAGGGGATTCTAAATGTAATCACTCCATTCTTATAGGGTCCTCAGGACCCAAGAGCTAGTCCCGTATTCCTGACCCGGGGAAGATTTTGAATTTTCCCTTTTCCTCCTTTTCCCACTCTAAAATACGCCACGAGTTTGTCTTCGAACCCTACCACCATCGAGAAGGAAGTGGTCTTAGAAAAAGCCCAAGTAGAGAAGACTTCGCGACTGTCTTTCTCAAACCCGTGAAGGGAGAGCAATAATGGGCAAGGGGCGTGCACACCAGCCTCTTTCTTGCCCAATCAGGTGCACAGGAAGATGTCCTTCTACCAATAAAAATAAAGTTCGCTTTCCGGAGGCGGGAGGATAAACCTTGACTGCCAGTTCTCCAAAGCTACGTTCGCGGAGAGAGCTTAGAGTGATTAGAGATAGGGCCAACCCAGAGAAGGGGGCGGGGAGAGGGCGGGGTAACTTCTGAGTGGCTGGTAGACTGGCCAATAGTAGGTGAAGACCGCTGTTCCTGTGGTAGAGCTTTGCACCAATGACAAAGGCGACGGGGTGGGCGGGGCAGGGAAGGGGTGGGAAGAGCTCGCAGCACCGCCGGCGCCCGTCGGGTTCTACGAGAGGGAGAGAGAGAGAAATCCGGTTAAAATCCTAGTCGGAGGGAGGTTTAACCACAGATCGGTTCCGATCGGATTATTCCTTAAAGGGGACGTGCCATTGTCAAGAGAACGGAGCCTGGGGCCCGAGGGCGGGGACCGGCGGCGCTGGAGAAGCCAGGCGGCTGCACTTGGACGGGGGTCGGGTAGGTGTCGCCTGGAGAAAGGCGCTTCATTTCACTTTCCATTCCAGCCCGCGGGCCGGCGCTGGGCTGCCGGCCGCCTCGCGGCCCCGGGCTCAGTGGGAGTCGAGGTCGCCGGCCCTCCTCCGGCTGGAGGAGAGAGGCGGGCCGGGTCGCGCCGCCCGGGTGGAGACTCCTAACGGACACTCCGTCGCGGCGCAGCCCCAGCATCAACCGAAAACCCGTGGGAGCCGCGGCGGGTCTCCGGGGAGCGCCGCGCGCCGGGCGCCCCTGAGCGCCGCCCTCCCCTCCCGCGCCCGGTTCTCGCCGCGCTCCCGGTTCCGCTCGGCGCGCGCCGCCGCCTCGCGCGCCCGCCTTCCTGAGCGCCGGGCTCCGGCTCGCGGGAACCGCCCGGCGGCGGGGAGGTCGGCGGCCACATCCTTGCCGACCGAGCTGGGGAGCGAGCGCTGAGGCTGGGAGCAAACTTATAGCGTGGCGGCGGACGGGCCGGCGGTCCTCGGGAGGCGACCGGAGGCGGGGATCCGCCGAGCGCCGCGGAGGTCGCCTGCCCGGCCCGGCATTGTCCGCCTTTCCCTTCGCTCGGGTCTCTCCGCCCACTGCCCGCGGCCGTGGGGAGGGGTGCGCACCCGGGCGCCGTGCCCGCGCCGCCCAGGGCTGGCGGCTGCACCCCCGGACCCGGAGCCTTCCGGAGCCGGGGTCGGCCCCACCGACGACGCCTGAGCCACCGCCCGCAGGCGGGCCCGGCCCGCGGGGCGCGCGGGCGGCTCGGGGTCCGCACCCGCACGGGCTGCGGCTGCTGGAGCCCCAGCTCTGCCTCGCAACTTTTTTTGTGAATTTCGGTGGAAGTTGTTGCTTCCGGGCGGCAGGTTCTTTGGGCAGAGCCTCGGTCCCTTCGGTCTGGGCGGGGGCCGAGGGCCAGGATGAAAGGATGCTTGCTTTGCCGATGGTCTTTGCGGCCAGCCCCGTTCCTCGCCACCCCAGATTGCCTTTCTAGTGTGTAGATTTTGCACACGAAATACACACAAGAATGCACGGGATCATTGACCTCTCCCAGATCATGATTCTAAAAGAAAACAAAAAAGGGGTGTGTGTGTTGTTGAGGAGAAAGCTTTGAATTTACCTTCCTTTGAATTGTGGACAGTATTACCTGGACTATGGCTGAGACAGTTGAAGGGTGTGTGGGTTGTTGGGGATTGGGGGTGGGGGGAGGAGGTAACACACAACTAAGACGCTTCCCAGGGTCTATAGATTCAGGGAAAAAAAAACAACCAGACTATTGATGAAAATAAAGTTTTGTTCTTTTAAAAAGTGTTTTACTTATGGGAATTGTAGGTATAAGTAAAACAACTTCTACAACTGGAAGAACAAATAATGTCCAGTTTGAATATTATCACTTGGTGCATTACTTGTCAATACTTGTTAAAGAAATCATAGTTAAGCAGCACATTCCTTGTTATGGTCCTTATTTAGTAAAGAATGTTTTCATCAGTATTCATTTTTGGCAGTTTTTTTTCTTGTTCTTTGTGGGCTACTTGCCTGTGTTAAGTTACGACCTTATAAACAAAGTAGCATTGGGTGTGTTATTCTGTAGACTTGCTACTCATTATCAAAAATAGCATTCCATTTGTTTTTTTTTCTTCCGCTCCTGTTATATTTTACAAGGTTAATTTAGAACACTGAATTTTGTTGAAACACAAGTCCCAGCAGTTTTTTCATTTTTAAGTATTACTAATTTTTTAAGTGTGTTTATTAACTCACTGTCCAGTAACTTCTGAGTAATGTGGAACATTGAAAGTTCCAAGGCTCAGAAGTAACACAGAAGTTATACTTGGGAAACTGAAAGCCAATTTCAGATAATAATATTCGAAAGATAATTCAGTTCTTCCACAGAATAAATTGGGAAGTGAAGACAAAAAAAATGATCATCTTGATGATATGTTACACCCTGTAATCCTCTTTTCTTTTCCCCTTTTGGATCTTCTGGGATATAGATAGCAGTTGAGCATCTAGGTATAATACTTTTATTCATTTTATTACAAAAAATAGATGTTAAGACAATTGCAGAATTTCCATCTTTGTCTGATTACCAGCTTATTTAAACAATAGAGAAGAGGATTTCTGAGTTTTTGAAAGATCATGAAAAGAAAATGTTCAGGAATAATTAATTACCTTTGAAATGTTCAGGCCATATTTCCTGAACAAGATGTTTTTTCGGGTGTGTTTCCCATTTGTTTAAACACACTTTGTGTGTGTGTGTGTGTGTGTACAGATTGACAAGACATTGTTTTGAGTTGTGCCTTGAGACACTTGGGACAGGGACTTTGTTCAACACTTCTGTTTGGATCCTGTATGTCACTTTGGACCCTTCTAATGTCCAATAAATACGTGGTGGTTGGGGGTCTCATGACTGCTAGGTAAGCCTTCTACTACTGACCAACTCCCACCTCACCTCTCCCAGGGTTTTTGTTATTGGTAATAAAAATTTGAACAGTGATTGGTTTGTTGTGGGGAGAATATACACAATCTAGATGCTCTTTGTTAGTGTATAAAATTGCGATTTAATTTTATATCTGCTGCACAGATATCTTTTATGATGATGATGATGATTTATTATCATTTAGTAGAACCAGGCTTCACCTGTCAGCAACATCTGTTTAGTACCCATTTGTTCCAGGAGTATTATGGGGAGATAAAGTAGAAATTTGATGACAGTCTTGGCTCTTCAACATACAATTCAATGGAAATAATCAGAATTCCTACCCTTAGGAAAAAGAGTGGGTGTCTCAGAGCCGGGACAAGTGCGGAGTTCACAGTGACACAGGATTCATGCCCAAATGGTAAAGGAATATCGGGATGAGATAAAAGAAACCTATGGGGAAGGGAAGGTTTTCATGGCTTTTTATAATATATTTGAAGAACTTTTTTTATAAAGTAGAGAAGTAGACTGGGCACGTGTTCTCTCCTTGAGCTATTTTTATTTATAAATATTTTTCCTTTTGGGGAGGAGAACAGAGAGAGTGCTCTGACTTTTAACTATTGTTACCCCATCTGTCCCCTACCTAGTACAAATGTCACCTCATTGCAAGTTCTTCCTCTGGTCTCCTAATCAGAAGGGATTTCTCTTTGGCTTCTACAAAACACTCCTAGTGCAGGCTGTGGTCTGTCTGTCAGGATAGTGGTCATCTATAATTTTCCTTCATTAGGTTGTAGATTTTGGTAAAATTCAGCAAAAGAAGTTGGGAGCCTGGTCTATCATTTTTACCGTTACCTAAAATGCTTGGGCAGTTTTATTAGCCCACCAATATTGTATAAACCACGAATTGTACAGAAGCTCAAAAAACAAATCTCAAAAAGCTTAGTTTTATTTGGAGGGAAGTTTGTCCTTATTAGTGAAGTTTCCCGTGCTCATTGTAAAATACTGATACAAAAGAAAATTTAGACTGAAGGTCTCATAACACCATTGATTACATTTTTGTAACAGTTGTTAATGACTTATTCTTCCAGATTGTCCTTGCATACTTACAACTGTTTTACATTATCTCTGATATTTGAACATTTAAATTAGTAAATTGTGCTTACTAGGAATGGATAACTTACTTGTTTTTAACTTGTCCAGGCTCAGTAGTTTTGATTTCTTTTGTTCAGATACAGGGCTGCCCCCAGTATGTTTGAGTTCAAAATGTGGACTTTAAAATCTTTTAAAAAAATTGATCAAAGTTAGTGTACTGGAACATAATTTTACCTGCCTTTGCCATGAAGTGTTTTTGGAGTAATTGCTAAGAGTGTGGGTATGTATATATATATACATCTATATTTAAATTTCTTGATTCTTCTTATCTCTAGAGAGAATGTTAAGATGTGCTTTGAGACTGTCAGCACACCCTCATAGTATCCTGAGGGAAAAATACAGATTTGTTTATGGCCAAATCACACAGAGATCTGACTCCTAAATGTAGATTGCTCATTATTATAGGGGAGCTACGGCTTAGGCTGGTGTAGGAGGTGAGAAGAGCTTATTGTTCTAGATGCTTCTCTATAAACTAGTCCCTCGTTTTAGAAAAAGGTTTCTGAAGATTCCTGGTAGCCAGCCCAGCTGCAGCCTGCCAGGTGGCCTAATCAGCCAAAAAAAATCTCCATTCAAGAGCAAATTGGGGGTTATGGCACTGACTGAGTCTACCCGAGGAGGCCTTGAGGATGACTAAGTCTATTATTCCCCTGCTTGTTTACGGTTTTAAATAGCCTCTCCCAAGTAATCCTAGCAAACCCACCTGTCCTGCCGTCAGGAGTGGGTTCAGGTGTGCTACAGAGCTGTTGAAATAAACCCTTAAGCCCTAGAATTTTTTTTTTTAATTACAGTTTTATGCCTTTGGGGCAGAATGTTCTTGAAGTACTGCAGACATCAGAGGTGTCTAACACTTCACACACGTTATCCATCTGTAACCTACCTAGCATATAGTTCATATTTTGCTCATAGAGTAGTAACACATTCCTTCAAGCTCAAATAGTAAATAAAAACCTTTACCAGGATTTATAGTGTTTTTTTGTTGTTACACAAAGTAACTTGAAAAAACCCTCGTATTATAATTTAGTGTTAAATGTTTCTAGCTTTTGCTGGATGCCTGCCTGTAATCCTACCTACTCAGGAGGCTGAGATCTGAGGACAGCAATTCAAAGCCAGCCAGGGCAAGGCTGACACTCTGATCTCCAAAAAACCGGAAGTGGCGCTGTGGCTTAAAGTGGTATAGTGCTTGCCTTGAGCTGAAGAGCTCAGGGACAGTGTCTAGGCCCAGAGTTCAAGCCCCACCACTGATAAAAAATAAAAGTTTCTAGCTTTTATAAAATGGACACCTCTCACCATCACTCTCCCTGAATGAAAAAAATTGAATTGTTAAGAAAGGGACCATGTAGTACTGTCCGTAGTGGGCCACCCAGGCCAGGACAAGTGTGACCGATGGTATAGGACCTGTGGAGTTTGATAAGAATGCAGCCGTTTTCCAGCTTTT